TTCGAATCTGCTATCACCTCCCAGCAATATGCTATAGAAATAGACCGTCTCCTTGGAGAGTGGGGAGCGATATCTAGCGGCCTCATCATCAGGATTATCAGAGACGCCAGTCTTATTGACCGAACCGCTGCCCTCCTTGATGATGAACGCCATAAGACCATTTTCCGCCATCTTCACATACGTATTCGCAATACTGTGATCCGTCTCCTGCCTGAAGAAACTAGAGACACTATCAGAGAAGCTATACATATTGTCACAGAGCGCATTGCCCTTGACCCCATCGCACGACCACCATCCCCTCATGTCGCCATTCCTGTACCACTGCCAGCTTCTACTACAACTACTGTGGATCATCAGGATGATAATATCCCTCCTATTACCGTACTTGACATACCAACTTCTCCATCTCCTGACCCTATCACGCATACCAGACGACGACTCCCACTCAAATGTAGATCCTCACGCCTCGCCACCAAACGAGCCACCTCCATCTCCCCCACTAAAACACCGCTCAAACGATCCAGGTCACCCTCTCCCCCAAATCAGTCCTCTTCCATCACAGTCGTAAAAACATCGCCAGTCAACAACGTCGTATGCCGTAACTGCCATGTCACTGGGCATCACCATAAGAACTGCCCTGTGTATTACTGCAGAGTTTGCAAGGAATATGCACCCGGCCATTTATCAGTCTTTTGTAGAGGGTTGAAGGGAGAAGTGGTCATTCCTTTAGTATGGACTGACGTAGGATTCTACGACACTCTTGCCCAATGGGAGATTGAGCAAGACACTATCGCCCATGGCACCGCAATGGCACAAACCACTATCACAGAAGAGCAGGATGATCTACTTTATTCCAACTATGACATGGACCCCGTCTACTGGGCTAATCAGGATAGTTGAAGTCAGCGACTTCATCCCTAAACGAGGGGTAATGTTACAATCGTGGTCACCCCCTATCTCTTTTTCCTCTTACTTGTGTATTACATCATGACCGCACCTCATTGTGCCATCATTAGACTAACTGCTTCCTATATCTGTATTACATCATGATCGCCACATGCCATCGCTAGATGACTCATTCCCTTATCTCTGACTCGACTGATGACGTGTATGTACCTTATCTCTGACTCGACTGATGACATATACGTACCTGCCCTAAAGTACTTACACCTATATAAATCTGGTCATGTACTTAGATAGACTTCACTTTAATCTACTAGGTCTTACCTGAACTATCCTTCGCTTAGGACCCCCAATCCTAAGTCATCTGATAACCGATATTCAAGCCAAAGACACTCTCTTCGACTTGTCTTAAGAACCTTACATTTGTAAGGATACAATCCGGCTTCAGGCGTGCTCTTATTGAGTACCTGTTGTCGCACCCATCCTAGTTCGCCATAACAACACCCAGATTGGGTTGAACCTAGGTGCATATCTTGACAGTATTTTCTCATCTGCTGGAGACCAGATTGTGCGATCTCAAAGCATGAAGTCATGTGTGCGCATGACCAATCGTGCTTTGAGATCACACATGTCAGTCCCTTGTCGTGACTATGAGAGTCGTTTCTAATAGAGATATTCAGACAAGTTCTACAAAGGTTTTTTGGGGGGGGGGTTCAGTTTTTGGATTGTGACTTCGGTGAGTGCAGCCATGTCTCCTAAGTACAGAATTAGCATCTCTGAAAGACCAGGCAGTTTTTGTGTGTGGTGCAAAGTGCGTGTCACATGACCTAGATGTGAACCGCTAAATGAGATAAAGAGATGTGTATTCTAAAGCTCCGAAGCAAGGGTACAGAGACAAGGGCATACAACACAGGTAAGAACTGAAAAACCATGAGTGTGAGGTAGCAGGAAGGTTTTGGCCAGAAACACAACCCTACCCATGACAAGCATAGCTCACATCGGTTGTGCATGGGGTAAAAATGACCCCCCAACTGAGGATGTGAGGAAAACAATACAATTAAAAGCTAAGTGATGACAGAATGTGTATGGAATACTACTGGTAATGATGGGAGCAAGAGCTCATTGAAGATTGTAACACTGATATATGAGAATCTGAAAGGGAAGAAGTGATGAACATAGGAAGAATTGAATCAATCTTGCACCAATATTTGAGGAAAGCTCTCGACTTCCATCTCCCTTGCATAGTGACTATATCTGGGGGTGTTCCTCTGAGAAGTAACTCAGTGGCTCTGTTAAGAACCATGTTGCTCAAAGGAGAGAGACTGACTCAGAGGGGCTTGGCCTCAGCTCATATGCTGTGCCCCTTACCCAAGTATGTGCCCTTCATTTCAGAGGGAGTCTGATGATGGTTGTTAAGAACCATGCTCAAAGGAGAGAGAGACTGACTCAGAGGGGCTTGGCCTCAGCTCATATGCTGTGCCCCTTACCCGAGTATGTGCCCTTCATTTCAGAGGAAGTCCAATGATGGTCCGACAAAGTCCAGAGGACTTCCAGAGGCTGACTACTCTGGTGGAGAGTGCAGGAGGACTTCCGGAGGAGTGCAGGAAACGTCTGGAGGAGTGCGGGAGAGTTCCGGAGGGATGCAGGAAATGCTCAGGAGAGTTCCTGCTGCAAGGTAATACTTCTACAGGAAAACAGGATGGAAGGATAGGAGGTCCGGAGGACAGGAGGTCCGGAGGTATGGAGGATGGACATGGAGGTATGGAGGATGGAATGTCCAAAGGTACGGAGGGCAGAACGTCTGAAGGACAGGATGCCCGGAGGTATGAGGGACAGGATATCCAGAGGTACAGAGGACAGGAGGTCTGGAGGTCCAGAAGGAATAGGGGCTACATCGGACTTTGTCCAATGTAGAAGCAAATGGAGGTAGACTACCCTAAGGTAGAGTTGGAGGGACAGGAAGTGGACCTAAGTCCAGAAAGGGGGTAAGTGCCGGAAAGGCAAGACTCTAGCTTAGGGAAGCAATCCCTAGACTTGGGACAGAGAAATAGGGGACAAATCCAGAGGTCCAGAATTCTGGCCTAGGGAGTCCATCCCTAGGCCTTATGGAAAAGGACAAGACTCAGATGGACTGAAGTCTGGAAGATGATTGGCAAGTAGAACAGGATCTAAGATGATATTCTGACTGAGGACTCTACTGTAGTTGTACAGGGGTTATATACTAGGCTATCTGAGAGGATCAGTAAGCAAAGGAGTAAGGCTATGTACGAGCATGTGGAAACACATTGGTAAGTAAGACGGAACATATGTAAATGAACTTGGAGATGAAACTAGTACAAGGATCAATCAGCAAGACGGAAACAGAGATAACCGAGAACCGGAAAGGTGGAGATGCCTAAATGGGGATAGGTGCAGGATCTCAGATAGAGGGCGGGAATAGGTCCGGAGATAGTACAGTTAATATCCGGAGGTCCAGAGATCTGGGGATCCGGAAGGCAGGGCGGAAACAGGACTGAGATATGTGAGGTGGTGGATGTAGTCCAGAATCCGAGAGGAGGTAAAGTCCGGATGTCTTGCTGGACAGAATGTGCATAGGGTGGACAGGATAGGGGATCCAGGAATGAGTTGGATATGGGGTCCGGAAACAGGTCCGGAAAGTGTGGGAATATGATGGGATCTATGTCTGGCATACAGGATATGACAATGGTCTGACAAAGTCTGGAGGACTTCCAGAGGCTGGCTACTCTGCTGGAGAGCGCTAGAGGACTTCCGGAGGAGTGCAGGAAATGTCCGGAGGAGCATGGGAGAGTTCCAGAGGAATGCAGGAAGTGCTCAGGAGAGTTCTCACTGCAAGGTAATACTTCTACAGGAAACCAGATGGAAGGATAGGAGGTCTGAAGGTCCGGAGGACAGGAGGATAGGAGGATAGGAGGATAGGAGGACAGGAGGACAGGAGGACAGGAGGACAGGATGACGGAGGACAGAAGGACAGGATGATGGAGGACAGAAGGACAGGAGGACAGGATGATGGAGGACAGAAGGACAGGAGGACAGAAGGACAGGAGGACAGGAGGACAGGATGATGGAGGACAGAAGGACAGGAGGACAGGAGGACAGGATGATGGAGGACAGAAGGACAGGAGGATAGGATGTCTGAGGGTTAGGAGGATGGAATGTCCAAAGGTATGGAGGGTGGAACATCTGAAGGACAGGATGCCTGGAGGTACGAGGGACAGGAGGTCTGGAGGTCCGGAAGGAATAGGGGCTACATCAGATGGAGTCTGATGTAGAAACAAACAGAGGTAGACTACCCTAAGGTAGAGTTGGAGAGACAGGGATTGGACCTAAGTCCGGAAAGAGGGTAAGTGCTGGAAAGGTGGAGCTCTGGCCTAGGGAATCAATCCCTAGGCCTGATGGGTAGGACAGACTTAGGTGGACCAAAGTACGAGAGAGGATTGGGCAAGTCTAAGTTGATATTCAAACTAAGGAACTACAGGAGTATCTACAGGGGTTATATACTGAACAATATCTGAGGGGATCAGTAAGCAAAGGAGCAAGGCTATGTATGAGCATGTGGAAACACATTAGTAAGTAAGTCAGAACATAAGTAAATAAACTTGGAGATGAGGACTCATACAAGGATCAATAAGCAAGACAGAACAAGAGGTAACCAAAAGCCGGAAGGCAGAGAATGCCTAAATGGGGATAGGCGCAGGATATCAGACAGAGGGTGGGAATAGGTCCAGAGTTAATATCTGGAGGTCCGGAGATCTGGGGATCCGGAAGACAAGGTGGATACAGGACCGGAATACAAGAAGGTGGATATAGTCTGGAATCCAAGATGAGGTGAAGTCCAGATGTCTTGCTGGATGGAGTGTGCATAGGGTGGACAGGATAGGGTTGTACAGATCAGGCTAGCAGTGAGGATCCAGAGGTCCAGAGCTCAGGGATAAATCTGGAACATAGTCGATCCTGCTGAGGTGTGGAGCACAGGGGATCTGGGAATAAGCTGGATATGAAGTGGGGTCTGGATGTAGGCTCGGAAGGCGTGGGAATATGATGGAACGTGGGTCTGGATTGTGGGATATGACACTGTGCCATGGTGCTCCATGCAAGTTGTGCCAGAAGTGTATACCTGCAAGCCAATTTTGAACAGTGGATCCAGCTACTTTCCCTGCCCAGGAGGCTATGAACGATATAAGAAGGTGATCAGGAGCCGGCATGCAAAGAGACTCAGGAATCCTCCTTGAATCACAGTACTGATGGAAGCACAAGAGACCAGAACCATAGTTCTCATGTGTCTTGACTTCAATTGAGATAAGCATCACATCAAGAAGTTTCAAGATGTCCCCATAGGGCAAGTGACCAAGAACAGAAGCATGGAATGAAGATGTATGAGGTGCTGACCAGAGGTGAACACGATTGCATGCAAGAACATGTGGTCAAAAAGAGGAATGATCAATGGTATTGTTTGTTTTTGCTTTTCATGGCTTAGGTGATTTGCAAGCAAGAGAGGGCAGGTCTCCTACCAAGGGTGGTCTTGCCAAGGCCTCCTTGAGTAGAACCAGACTTGCTGTGACATCAGCACCTGCTTATGTTGGTCTATGAGGCATGCTAGACATAATTGATGATGAAGGATTGGAGCTCCCCAGGGAGTGTGATTGACAGCAAATGAAGAACAGGTGGTCCAACCTCACCATGAGAGATCTTGTCACCTTGTTCCTTTCAGATTCGACATAAATGAGAGTGTGTGAGATGTTCAACACCATTGCCATAGACTCCACCCTGTGGATACACAAGTTAACTTGAAAATTGCAACTCCTTCTGTGCTGAAAGGCACCAATGATTCCCTGGTTATCTGAATGTATGAGTATGATGGTGTTGCACCAGCCAGAGTCAAAGAGGGTTCTCACTGTGAGCTCAACAGCAATGGCTTCAAGCCACCTAATGTCTCTGCCTTGACTCTTCCACCCTGTGCATAGCATCCATGCATTCCATTTGTCTCCCAAGGTGAGACCTATTCCCCAGTCTGTAGATCCATTGACCCACAGATCAAGATCTTGTGGGTCTCCCCTTGGGACAAGGGATTGAGGTAATGGTGTGTGGTTCAGAACATTTAGCCACCATTTGAGGTCTGAAACCATGGATGCATGTGGGAAGTGTGAAGCATGTTTTGAAGGGAACTCTGCTATGAAGGATGAGAGGTTGGTGAGGTAAGTGCACCCATGTGGGATTATGAAGGCAATGTGAGAAAGAGTTCTGTTCATACTCATGGCATCTTTGCACATCATGCATCTCCTGCTCAGTACAGAATCTAACAGCATGATGAATTTGTTTCAATACTTTTGATGTTTTGTATCAGGTAGCATGACTGTGTGCAGGATGAGGTCCCACAAGAAGCTGAGGTAGATGAAGATGTAAGCAAAGTCTGTACACTTCCTGGGGTACCAGGGCACCCCAAGTGGGCAAGACCCTTCATGTATCTGCTGAAGTCTGTGAGTGTAAATGAACAGTGAGCATGTCCCATTCTCTAGTGTCTCTCCACCTCCAGATGGGAACCTGAAGAATAAGTGGTCATCTACCCACTTTTGATGGGACCAAGGTCCATCCTGTGTAGAATGTCAACGGTCGCATCTGCAATGTTACCTTGGACTCCTCTGGCAGTGGAGAGTCCAAATGGGAAGATGTGATCAATGAAAAAGTTTCCATTGACTTTGATGATTAGAAAGCATTTGTGTGGTGGCCACACAGGAATGGTGTGATAGGCAGCTTCAATATCTAATGTTACTGCTTGAGTGCCCAGAGGTGCTGAAGCCACCTACAAGTGAAATGAGCAAATGATGAAGTGGGGTGAATTTTGAGTGAAATGACATCAGAGGTGGGAAGTGTGGGCAAAATGAAGTACCTGGCACTGAAATGGTAGGGTGAAGGCAAAAGAAGGAGTGAGGAAGGTCTTGTCTGAAGCAAGAAAGAATACAACACCCAAAGGCAAGGCAAGGTCAACATGTACAGCGAGGGGACCTGTTGGAAGTGCCAATGCAGAAGCCAAGGCAGGAGGGTCAAATACCCCCCCCACTCCCAATCAATGTTATGGGGTATGAACAAAGGCTAAAGCCAGAATGAAACAAATGAAGGCATAGAGGAACGAAGTCCTCAAGAACACTAACAGTGATCCTGCAGAGGGGTGGGAAGCACTGAATGAATGAAGGGCAAAAATGTACAATTTCAATGACTTGGGCAGCCATGCCCCATTCAGTCAGAAAATTGTCCAAGTCCAGGAAGCCATTGATGGAGAAACCATCAGTGTTGCAGTATGATAAGTCTCAGATGACTCTAAACTTTCCAGGTTCTCCAGATTTTTTGACAATGCCAAGGGGTGAGGATGTGAAGTGGCCTCCCAAAATATTTTGAACTTCAGCCTCAGAATGAGGGCCAGACATGTGGCCAAGGGCAACTTTGTCTTTGCAGTAGGAGCAAATAACATCAAGATGATCAAGAGCTGATTTGTGGTTATTTGGGGTGTAGGTTTTGGTAAGAGGCGGTGTGACAGTCAAGTTTTCCTTGGGCTTAGATTTACTTACTTTCATTACCTTTACCTACCCCCACTTTCTTTAGCTTATATAAGCATCACCTCTTACCTTTCACTCTTTACCTGTAGTCTAAGACTAGCAGTTTTATGATGATTTCTCTCCTCTCTGAGCTCAGAGTCTAGTACAGAAACCCTTGTGGGTCGAATAGCAGCTAGGTACAGCACTAAAGACCCAACATATTGGCCAGGTACTTTACCAAGTATCTAGCCAAGTTGTGTTACTCACAACTGGAGCCCACCGTGAGGGGGCCATTTGAAGCTGGAAGGCAGATCACTTAGGTCAAATGAAACCTGAGAGCTTTGTGCACTTGCAGACATCTCACAAGAAGACTTTTTCTACCTGGTACTTCAGAACATTGAAGAAGAAACCGAAGCGGGACCATCCAACTCACATACCTGTTCCTCTTCAGAAGCCTCTGTTATCTGGAACCTCGCTTCCAACTCACCCCTAACAGAACCAGAGTCTGAGAGGGAAGACACTCACTTCCCCAGATCATTCAACCATTCACTACCCCAAGTCCCATTCATTACTTTAGACACTCCATCCACTGAATCATCACTTACCCCTTTGAATCCTACCTGAGACCCATCACCTGAAAGGCAAAACCTGTTCACACCCACACCCTTCCTACCCATAACCACTTCCTCCCCATGTAGACATTTAGCCATGCTCCCACCTACTTTACCCAACCCCACATGCCATACCCCTTCAGCCCCACAAGGTCCTGCACCATCTCAAACCCCTATTGCACAACCCACAGCCATGACTACCCCATATAAAATGCCTCTCCAAGGAACCAATGTGGCACCCAAATTTGATGGAATGCCTGCATGGCTACTCCCATTTTTTGAGGACGTGGAACAACTGGCTGACTATGCTAATCTAGATCAGGAAAAGCGCACCAAGGCAGTGCTTTGATATGCACCTATCAGTGAATCAGAAACTTGGGCATGCAGGCCTGCTGTTACAGTTCTATCTTTTTCCTTTCACCTCTTCACTTATTCACAATCACTAATCATTCTCAGACATTCTATGACATTCTATCATACGATTCTCTTTTCTCTTTTCTGATTCACTATTTACTTTCCATCTCTGATTCATTTATTAAAGCTCTGCTTTAATTCCTTTATATATACTCTACCTTTTATGCTTGTATTCTTTAACTTGACCTACACAGACCAGGGCCTGCAATATACTGCTTAACTCGCACGACTCGTACATAGGTGTATGCTTTAGATCATTTGTTTCCATCTAGTCGTTCTTACGAATGCCGAGCATAACAAAAGGTCAAGTTTCTACTTTACCATGCAGTTCCCTAGAACTCGCACCCAGAACAGAACACCATACCACCGATTGCACCGACCCCTCCCAGTTTTACCTGGGATGAAGAAGAACAAGAGTTCTTCTGTGCAGATGCTGAAGGCACCAGATATTCCCTTGAACAGTGGGCAGCTTATTACGCTACTCTAGCCCCAAAGAACAAAGTTTGGAATTTCCACACCCAAACCTACAAACAATCAACCACTGCTACTATGCCTAAAGAGATCGGCAAAACCCCCGCACCCTTCAATGGCAATACCCGCCTTGCTCAGGGATGGATGCTTCAAGTCGAGGCATACCTAGATATGAATGATGAAGTATATGATAATGACAAGAAGAAGGTCATTTTCATGCTTAGCCTTATGACTAAAGGCGAAGCTGCCAAATGGGCTGAAGGCCAACTGAAAGCTGCTGTCACAGCAAAGTCTTATGGAACCTGGGAAGATTTCGCTAAACAATTCAAATCCACCTTCTTCCCTAAGAATGTTGAACAGACTGCGATTTGTCGCATTTCCTCCCTTAGACAAACCGGCAGTGTAGCTGCTTACACATCCTTATTCCGAACCATCCTCGCTGACACTGGCATCACTGAAGAAAACACAAAGATTATGTTCTTCAGGAACGGGCTTAAGCATGAGATAGTCTCTGCAATTTATGCCTTCGAAACAACCCCCACCACCATTGAGACGTGGCTAGAGAAAGCCTTAGATGTCGAGGTCTGAAGGACCTTAATAGCACCTCCATCCTATACCAAGGCAAAAGATCCTTATGCCATGGATATAGATAAAGTAGAAATAGATGAAGAAGACGGTGAGAAGAAGACTAGGAAGACCTATCTAACTCCTCAAGAACGGGAGCGTAGGCGCAAGGGCAGCCTTTGCTTCAAATGCGGCAAGAAAGGCTTAGCCGCAGACTGCCCTAACCATCCTACGGTTACGACCAGTACAAGAAAGGTAATCAAGGAATCATCTGACAACGATTACAAGGAATTTCAAGAATGGAAGGCATTTAAAGCATGCCAGATGAAGAAAGCCGGTAAGAAACTGGTTAAGAAGGAAGAAAGTAGCGATGAGGAGGATTTTGCCTAGGGGAGCCTGCCACAGTGTCAGAAACTCCCAGAATCGGACTAGTAGTACAATCTGTTGGCGATACTAATTCTATTCGTTTGCCTTTAACCATCAGATTGAAAAAGACTGAAAAAACCACCATAGCCACTGCTCTAATTGATTGCGGCACAGAAGGCAAATTTATCGATGACAAGTTCATACTCAAAGAAAACATTCACACACACAAACTTGAAACCCCAATACCTGTGCATAACGTAGATGGCACATTAAACAAAGCCAGAAGAATCACATGGTACTGTGAACTTTCATTTTTAATCA